TGGTCAAAGTCATCAAGGCTTCCCTGCACCCGGGGCTTCCTCATGGACAGGGAGGGAGGGATGGGAGCCAAAGGAGCAGCTCACGTGTGCCCAAGTCCCCTTCCTGCTGTACCCAGTGCCACCAGGCTGCAGGACACCACCAGCCCCATTGTCCCCACCACCACCCCTGCCCTGTGCCTCAGTTTCCCTGCACTGCCCAGGCTGGAGGGAAGCTCCTGGAATGTCAGGGCGGGCGGTGGGGACAATGAGGGCTGGCAGGGAGGGAGAGTGGCTGCAGCACAGGGGAGCCCAGCATTCCTGGAATGGCCACCATGCCCTCCCCGTGGCCAGCCGGGATGCCCAGCTGCTGGCACGGGCAGCAGCTGCTCCTGGGGCCTTCAGAGAGTCATGGAATGGCTTGGAAGGGGCTTAAAGCTCTTCTTGTCCCACCCCTGCCATGGGCAGGGACACCTTGAGGTTCCTCCAAGCCCCGTCCATCCTGGCCCTGGTCCCCTTGCCCAGCCCGTGGTGGTGCCACGGATCCACATGGGGAGGTGACACCTCGGATCGTCCCCAGTGTCCCCAGGCGTGGCCCTGCTCGAGCCAAGAGCCCCCAACCCCAAGTCTCCATTCCTGGGGGCCCCATCAGAGCCGAGAGACAAAGGGGGCCGGGGAGGACCAGCTGCAGCCCGGGAATGTCCCCTGCCCTCGGCCCCCGTTCCCAGGGATCAGGTTTCCCAGTTCCCAGGCAACCCGAGCCCGGCATGGCTTTCCAGGCAGGCATTCCTGCACCCCCGGGGCTGGGGGGGCTGGGGGCGAGGGGAGGGTGGGGCAGGGGCCGCCAAGGGGGCACTGCCTGCCCGGGGCACAGGCAGGTGCTGGGACTCGGGCTGGGGAGAGGTGAGGCAGCCCTGGGAGAGGGGTGCAGGGCACACCCCCAAAGCTGGGAAATGAACACCCAAAACTGGGAAATGAACGCCCAAAACTGGGAAATGAACCCCCAAGAGCTGGTCCCCAAACCCACGGAGGGTGCTGAGGGCAGTGCCCACGCCTGTGGCATCACCAGCATGCCCGGGGTGTGAGGGATGCCAAGGGGGTGTCAGGGATGCCAAGGGGGGTGTCAGGGATGCCAAGCATGGCCAGCACAGCAGGGAGCTGCTGCCAGCACATTCCTGCCTGCTGGCTGGGCAGAGTGATAGGAACACATCCTGAGGCTGGATCCACCCCCATGGATGGGGGAACCCCAACCCAAAGCAGCAGCCATGGGGGTGAGGGTGGTCCCTGGCATCACCACCACACCTGAGTGATGCTGGCACCACGGCCTTCCCAGCAGCTCCGTGCCATCCTCCACTGCACTGGCAGAGAAGCTCCCAGGACACCCCAGTGCTCCCCACCCTGAGCCATCCCAGCCCCTCAGGGCTCCTGGATCCCCTTGGCTGCTTTGGAAGTCCAAGGCCCAGTGCCAGGAGGCACCGGTGGAGCCACCAGCCCTGGCACGGCGGCGGGCACGGCGGGGGCTCAGCTCTCCCTTCGTTAGCACAATCACATCACCACTGACAGCAGCAGATTTCTCCCCGGCCGTTTCTCACCCAGCCACACGCCAGCCACTCGTTAACGAGCTCGGGGCAGTAACGAGGGCTCAGAGGGGAGGGCACCCTCCACCACCCAGCGGGTTCTGCTCCCACATGGTGCTGCCCCACGGGGCCATTTCACCCCGGGCACTGCCTGTGCTGCTGCTGCAACCAACACACCCCAGACCAGTTGGTGTAGGGCCTACAGTGATGTGAGCGTGGCTGGGGCTCATCCCCAGGCAGGAACCAGCCACAGGCAGAGGCTGGGGACAAGGGCACGGCTCGTGGAGTGGCAGAGGCAGGGTGACCCCTCGCTGCAGCCTCCCTCCTCGCGGTTTAATTATCGGCGCTTTCCCAGGTACTCAAGCAGCCAAGGATCCGCCTGCTCCCTCCTTGCTGCTCTCCTCGAGCTCCTGCCTGTGCTCCTGCTGAGCGGAAATGCCACCTCAGCCCTGTCCCCGTCACCGAGGGACGAGCAGCACTTGACGCTGTCACTCACCCTGGTCCCCGGATGGCACCGGGGCAGGAGCTGCTCAGCCACTGCCGGCTCTCCCTGCCCACCAGTGCCGCAGCTGGAGGTGGGAACGAGCTCCCATTTCCATCCCAGCTCTCATCCTGCCTGTTCTCCTCCTCAGCTGGCTCCCCAAAGCTTTGGGGAGCAGCGCAGTGACAGGCACAGTGACACAGCCTGCCTGGGACAGGACCATATCCCCCTCCCTCGCGGTGATCAGGTCATCAAAATTTCATCATTGCTGTGCCCAGGCACTAATGGCTTCCCAAGCAGCATCAAATTTTAATCTTCCCTTCCTCTCCCCTAAAAGCCACTCTCCTTCCCGAGAGCTGGTGCCTTGCACGAGGCCACCAGCGAATGTGGCAGTGCTGGCAGGGACAGGAGAGCCAGGGCCATCCCCTCCTGCCCTGATGCCACTGGCACAGAGGAACCAGCAGCTCCCATCACCAAAGTCCTGGTGTGAACACCAGCATCACATCCCCAGCAAGAGCAGGGGCTCGTCCTTGCCCCCCTCCTGCCCAGCCCCACAGGGCACCGTGTGTGCAGACGTGCCCAGGCTCCACACACGGGGACAGAAGATGCTGGAACTCCCCTGCTGCCACCTCTAATAAGCCTCTTTGGTGGAAGCTGCCCATGGCAGGCCCCTGCCCCAAATCCCGTCTGGAACCTTAAGCTGCCCAAATCCCTCCAGGGACTGGCCACAGCCTCCTCAATCCCATTAGAGGTGCTGTGCCCACACGGGGGGTCCCGGGCTGTGCCCCCAGCACTGGCTGTGGGGAAACTGCATCTCACAGAGAGTGAGCAGGAGCGGGCTGGGGACCCCCAGGCTCCCCCCAGCTCTTGGGGATCCCTTTATTGCCTTGTTCATCAGCCCAAGGGGTGATGGTGGGGTGCCCCCAGGCCTGGCACAGCCCCCAGGCCCAGCACAGGTCGCACTGCGACAGCTCCAGCCCAGGCAGCGCTGCCGGCTGAGCCTTCCCCCAGCTCCGCACTGGGCTCCGGGTAATTAGCGCCAGGCCCCTAATCAATAAGTTATTTTTTGCCACGGGTAATTAATAATTACACAGCACAGACGGGCTGTAATTAAACTTCCATCCTGTCTCTCACGGGCAGCAAGGGGCCTTTTTTAAGCAAGCACAGGTATGGAAGTGCCTCACCCCGTGCCCGGGCAGCCCCTGCGCCCTGGCCGGGGAGGTCTCGCTCCATCGCCTCCTCCTTCCCTCCCCGATTGATCCCGTTTTCCTCGGCTGCCAGAATCAATAGCCCTGGCACAAAGCTCTGCTGGCCCTCACTGCCAGCCCTGCCTGCCCCACCGCAGTGGGACAGAGCAGAGCCTGGAGGAGCCCTGTGCCGGGCTGCTCCCAGCTCCACCGCCCTGCTCCCTGTCCGTGCCAGCGGAGAGCGCCAGCACCCCACGGGCACGGCGGGCGGGAGGTGACCCTGCTGGCGTGTCCCCAGTGCCACCCGCGGCAGGGGAGGCGGGCACGTGCCAGGCGTTGGGAATGATCCCTCCAGCACGCCCAGCTCGCTGGTGGCCGCTGCCACGCCGGGCACCGAGCAATGTCACAGCGTCCGCGAGGATGTGACACGCGCCGCAGAGAGCCAGAGCCGCCAAGCTCAGCTCCTGCACCAGGAGAGCAGAAAGAAGCCCCTCGCCCACCCCTCCAGAGCGCTGGGGCACGGGCAGCCCCACATCTCCCAGCCCACAGCCCCACGGATCAATGGAAGGAGGGTGGGTGACCCCAGGAGCCCGTCCCGCGGGCACGGAACAAACGGATCGCAGGGGAGCCGGCAGCCGGAGACGCCAGGCAGGAGAAGAGAAACTCGGCAAGGGAGTGAATCAATCAAAGAGACCTTCAGAGCTCCCCACACAGGGCCTGCCCGGATAATATACTGCCGCTTTAGATGTTATGTTCTGAACTTAATTACTGAGAAATTATAGCAGTGCTGGGGGAGGCTCAGGGGAAGCGGGAGCACGGGAGCGCTCAGGGACTCCAGGCTCCACTCGCTGCCACAAGCAAGGGCAAGAAATGTCGTGGGTGAGGACCCCCGGCGCTGCGCTCTGCTGTGCCCCCCCATTTCCCGTCTGGATCTGCTCAGCCCAAGCGCAGGGACAGAGGCAGCCACGCCGCAGCCCTGCCAGCCGGGATCCTCCTCTCTGGGCCTGCAGGGGAGGGGACCACAGCGTCCCCCCGGCCCCTCTGAACCCCAGCTGCGCCCCGAAGGGCCACGAACTATTTTTATATCCCTGTGGGCTAGCGGAGCAGCTGGAAGCAGCCTGTGCTGTGCCCGAGCCCAAAGGGAGAGCAGCAGAGAGGGGCTCACCCTGCCCTGCAGCCCCCAGGGGTTGTTGGGGTGCAGTGGGAGCCCCAGGCACCCACAGGGGGATCTCGGGGGTGCAGACCCCCCCCAGCCCCTGCCAGTTTGTACCAGCGGCTGGAAGTCGACAGGACCAACATCAGGGTATGAGCTGCTCCCTGGGAATGCCCCAGCCTCGCAGCCCGGGGTTTGTGCTACAACGGGGGTACCCTTGGGGCAGGGTGGGGGGTATGGGCGATGCTCACCCCTCGGGGTTGCCCACTCTCCCGAAGGTGATCCAGCACAGACTCTGCCTCATGCTCAGAGCAACACGTTCGCCCCATCCCCATCCTGAGGGCAGTTATGGGCAAGGGGGAGGCAGAGCAGAGCCATGCTGCTCGTCCCCCTGAGCCACCACGGTCACCGCGCTGCACCCGGCACCGGCGGGCCCCGAGTGCTGGCTCCGGGGAGGCTTCGCGAATATCACGGATGCCGCTCTTCCCCCGGTAGGAGCTCCGGAGCCGCCTCGCTCCCATCCCCCGGCTGGCGCACCGATCTCCCAGCGCGGGCTGGCAATAGGCTCGGTTGAGGGGTGCAGCGCGGGGTCCCCCCGTCTCCCGCCGCCCTCCGCATCCCCTTACCTTGGGCGCCGGCTCCTGGGGGGCCGGGCAGGGCGAGCACGGCGAAGCAGAGCAGCCCCCAGCTCCGGAGCCGGGCCATGGCTCTGCCGAGACAAGCTGGGGGGGTTGCGGGGGGAGAACTTCCCCGACTTTATAATCCGGGCGGCTCCGGCGCAGGGATCCCCGCAGCAGCGCTGCTCAGGGGGGGAGGCGAAGGCGCCGGGGCGAAGGGCTCCTCGTGGGGCTGGGGGCGGTCCGCGGGCAGCTCCCCACCATCGGCGGCTTCCCCAGGGACGTGCGGAGCCGGGACCACCAAATCCGGAGCGGAGCCGGCAGCCGAGCCCCTCCCCGAGCGCTGCGCCCCGCGTCAGGGAAGGGGACGGGAAGCGCAGGGCGCCGCGCCCCCGGCCCCTCCTGCCCGCCCGGGCTCCATGGGGGCCGGGTCCCCGCCGCTCCGGGGCCGAGCGAAAAGTTTGGGGGCGGGGGGCGGCCCCTCCCCAGCGCTCAGCTCTTGCCGAGGGACATCCCCTCCTAGGCGGCTCCGGGCGACAGAGAGAGGATTCGTCCCTGGCGGGGAACGGGGGAAAGTGCGGCGGCGGCGGGCGGCGGCGCGGGGTCCCGCTCGGAGCCGCCGGCGGTGCGCGGCGGGCGGGCTGGCGGCGCCGCGCCGATCCCTCTCGGCGCTCCGGCCGCTGCTGCTCCTCCTGCGCTGTGCGGCGGCGGAGTGAGCGGCGGCGGCGGGGCTCGGCGGAGCCGGGGGCAGCCCGAGCCGGGGAGGCGGGGAGACGGCGCGGCCCCGAGCGCTACCCAGCGGCCGCGGAGGGAGCGGGCGCGTCCCCACCGGCCGCCCCCGGTTCGTGCGGAGCGGGCGGGTCCCCCCCCTCCGCTCCCGGTGCCCCCGCTGTGGAAACAGCGGCTGCTGTCTGCAGCTCCCACCCTAACCCGCCCCTCGCTGCCCCAGTCCCTCCGACAGCACGCAGAGCATCTGCACCCGACCCCTGCGAAGGGGACACAGCTCATCCCTCAGGTAGCTCTAAGGCAGAACTCAATGACACAGGATTACCGGAGCAAACGTTTCAAGGTTCTCAAAAACAAACCCCAAAAAAAAACCAACAAAACCTTTGACCCCAGAGATGACCCAGCAGCACCTCCCTGACAACACACCACCTCATCAGGCCTGATCCCGCAATTCCTCAAGCCCAGAGCTCCCAACAGGATCACACATCCTCCAAAGATGTCTGTGCTTTCTGCTAGCACAGTGCCTTGCATTAGGTGGGGGAAAGCAGCTCAGTCACGGCTGCTACCGAGCATTAACACCCAAGGACCTGCACCATCTGCACAGGAGGAAATATCCATCCGGAATTCTGGATCAGCCTCCTGAGCACACACACGGCACCTCTGAGCCAAGGGACCTGCGAGGATCAGGGTGAAACGAAAGCATGAGCAGATTAGCCTGGAGCCAGCCCGGCAGTGCCGGGTCACACCAGGGCAGGGACAGAGGGAGCACTCTCCCACAGGCACTGACAGAACTGCCTGTGCCGTCCCCGGTGTGCATTTCCACTGCAATGGAACCCTCACGTGGAAATCCTGCTCAGCCCTTGGGGGGGACAACGCCTGTGAGCACGTTGCGTATTTGGAGAGCTACTGCCAAATTTCCCATCGACCTCTTGAAGAGAGACTGAACAATAACCCAGCTCTTGCCCACCCCGGCATTAATCAGCTCCGTGGCTGGCATTCTCAGCTGAGATGACGGGATCAATGTGCTGTGGGAGGCAGCAATCCTGGCTCACCCCTCAGGGAGGTGTTTCCCGATGCTGGAGTGAGCAGAGGGAGAGGCTGCCCTGCCAGGGGTGAGCTCAGCCCCCATCGGGGGTTCAGCCCCGTTCCCCAGGCACCTCCACACACGCTGCAGCCGCAGTAACGCTCAGCACGCTCCCAGGCCCCTGCAGGATCGGGGCTTTGTTCCATGAAGAACAGGAATTCCTGTCTCCAGGGCCATAAATCCGGGTCTGACCCTGGTGCCAGCGCTGATTTATGGTTATTACCATTAATCTTGCTGAGCTGTGAGTGGTTTATTACCCACTTGCACAGGTACCTGGCTCCCCACGGTCACCCAGACTGATTGAGGCTGGATCTCACATCAGTGCCCCCACCAGAGCACGTCCTCCCCTCCCCGTCCTGCCTGCTCTGTGCCAGCTCTCCTCTGCCCCAAGCCCTCCAAGCAGGAGCAAGTTCCAGCAGGCAGCACCACACCTGTACCTGTCTCCAGGAGCGTGTGGAAGAGCCTGGAGCTGCTGGCACATCCCAGGGATCAGAGAGGGCAGCGTGGCCCCACTCTGCCCCCCACCCGTGTCCCTGAGGGCATCCCAGGTGATGTCTGGGTGTCCTCCCCATGCTGCTGGGCCACCCTGCCCCACACAGGGCGTTTCTCCATCTCCCATGAGTTTTGGCCCCCTCCTCCACCAGCATTTCTGAGAATCCCAACTTAACCTACAATTTGGGGCAGCACCGCTCATAATTACAGCCGGAATCGTGACAGCGCATCCCCACAGACCACCGCGAGCCACATCGCACGACTCCCGCCCCTCCAAGGCTTCTCTAGAAGGGGTTTTTGAGCTCCTCTCTCATCGCTGACCCCTGTCCGGGGGTCTGCAGCCCTCACGGGCAGTTCTGCATCCCCGAGCAGCGCTCGGAGCCCGGCCAAGGCGGGGCCGCTCCCGGAGCTGCCGGCCGCGGGCAGCAGGAGCCCGCCCGGGGCTATTTGCGGATGTGAACGCTGTTATTTTGCCTCCTGCTTGAAGAGGGCGCATCAAAGTCAAACCCAAAATACGGCGCTGGGCTTGAATTAAAAAAACTCTTGTCTGAAACCAAGGCAAGTTCCAAAAAAAGATCAAGGCTTTGTTTGAAATGTAAAAAGTCTTTGCTGGGTTGTCAGGAGCTTTGGGGACCGTCAGCACTATCCAGAGGCTGCAGGACAACAGCCAAGAGCTTCGGCTGTCCTCAGCATCCCTCGCGTTCCTCAGAGGAGGCGCTGACTCCCAGCAGCATCCCCGCTCCTGGAGCGGAGCGGCAGCCGGGGAAGGGCGGGGAAGCGCAAGGAGAGGTCGGGAGCGCTGCCTGTGAGTGAGAGACTCCGGGAGCTCAGTCCTTCTCGGCTATCAAAGGGCACAGGAGATGGATGGAAGCACAGGCTGTCAGCACCGGCGCAGGGAAGAGAAATTGGATCCGGGAGGCTGGGCAGCCTCACGGGCAGCGGGGGTAACGAGCTCCCACAGGCAGGAGGAGAAGCCAGAACCATCCAGACCAGCAAGAACGTGCAGGTTTCTAACAGGGAGGATAACTCCAGCTGCAGCAAGGCTCCCTGACACCTTCTTGCCTTTGTAATTAAGATTGAAAGGGGCTTTTTTTCTCCAGAAGCATCAGCTCTGCTGGAAGAGTCAAGCCAGGGTAGCGCTGCAGGCCAGAGCAGCCTCTGCAATCATTCAATGCTCTCTTCAAACCTGGGCTTAGCAGGTCCCTTCTCCCCAGAGCTGCAGCTCGGGTGAGTCACAGCCACCTCATCACTCCCTGGGCCCTCAGGGCCCTGCCCAGCCCTGGGAGGCCACACGCAGGCAAACGCCCCATTTCTGGCAGGGCTGAAGCTGCCTCTCCTTGAAGGGCATCAAACAGGGCTCCACGCTGCCCTCGGGTGCTGTGCAAGGAGCCTCCAAACCGGCTCAGAACAGAAACATCTTCAATCTTTCATGAGTTAAACAAGCACCGAGGGTGGGAGCAGCACCAGGAGCTCCCCTCTCCTTCCTGCCAGGGCTGCTCCTCATCCCAGCCCCGGGGCTGTCCCCCAGCAGCAGCTGCTTGGGGCATCTCAGCCCAATTAAGATCTTCCTGCAAGGCCGTGCTCAGTGCTGAGGGGGCTCTGAGCTGGCAGAGAGCAGAGCAGCATCTCCAGCCCTGGGGGCAGGACTCCCACGGCTGAGCAGGAGCTGGCTCCGTCCTTGGAGAGGTTTGGGGACGAGCCACGAAGGGTCAGGGTGACCTGGCTGTGGCTGCCACCCCTCTGCACCCATCAGATGGGCCCAAGTAACCCAAAACCCACTGGAATGGGGGGGTTAAGGGTCTCATCTTCCCAGGAGGGATGTGGGGATCACGGGACCCCCACTGAGCCCAACCAGCCCTGGTTCCCCTTCAGAAATGAGGGTTTGGCACCACCAGGGCTCCCAAACCCACCCTGGTGCTGGCACTGAGGTTCCTCCTCCTGCCCTGAACCCCTCTGAGCACCCCAGGACAGCACTGAGGCTCATTCTGCTGCCCTGAACCCCTCTGAGCACCCCAGGACAGCACTGAGGCTCATTCTGCTGCTCTGAACCCCTCTAACTGAGCACCCCAGGACAGCACTGAGGTTCCTCCTCCTGCTCTGAACCCCTCTGAGCATCCCAGGACAGCACTGAGGTTCCTCCTCCTGCTCTGAACCCCTCTGAGCATCCCAGGACAGCACTGAGGTTCCTCCTCCTGCTCTGAACCCCTCTGAGCACCCCAGGACAGCACTGAGGCTCATTCTGCTGCTCTGAACCCCTCTGAGCACCCCAGGACAGCATTGAGGTTCCTTCTGCCCTGAACCTCTCTGAGCACCCCAGGACAGCCCCTCACTCTCTGGGTGGAGAATGAGAGGGGCTGAGGGTGGGCCTGACACCATTCCTGCTGCTCCAGACCCTCCCTGCCTCGCTCACATCGGTGTTTCCTCCTTTGAGGCTGCAGGTATTGGGGAGAAGGACCATTTCTAACACTGGAACCATGGAACCAGACGCACAAACTGCTCCTCCACTGCCCTGCAAAGCTGAGTTTTCCTTTTCCCATGGGCTGGAAAGGGTCAGGAGAAGCCCCAGGATGAGGCTGGATGGGGACAGCTGGCTCCACTCAGCAGCAGGAGGGCAAAGGTGCAGCCCCCACTGCAGAGCTGACCCCAGAGCCCAGGACCACCAGCACAGAGACACCCAGTGAGCAGCACCAGCCCCCAGCAACAGCCCAGAGCTCGGGGCTGAGTTTTTAAATCAGGAGATTAAAAATTTAAACGAAGGCTCTGGCTCATTTTAACATGATTTCTTA